GGTGGTAGCCAGAGCAAGGCACGCTGGCAACGGCGCACAGGTGCCCCCCCATGTCCTCGGAAGCACTTTGCTGTGTTCGAGTCTCGTTGGGAAGAAAGCAGAGCGTGTTTCTGCTCGGGCAATGAAGAATTAAAACGCTTACAAGTTTTAAGTACTGTGTGTAATGGCAAAGGAGATCCCTGATATTTCTCTATCAAGGAAAGATTATTAGATAAGAGCTTGCATTACAAATGATGAAAATTCTCTTTTCTAACCTGAAATTAGTTTAATTTCATGATAGTGACAGGTCTCTGGAAGATTAGTCATTGCTGTCCTGTTTAAAGAGTATAGCTGTCATTCTTTATTAAAAAGTTGAAAGAACTTTTTAATCAACACTTTATTACCTTTAGCAGTATCTTGTCAACACTTAAAATAATCCTGATAAAATGTCTGGAGATCTTGTGGGCATGAACTTCAGAACCACTGTATTTGCTGTCTCATCATGACATAGTAATCTGAAAATGGTCATTTAATAATCAGAACTATGGTTTTGGCTGGTCATTGATATGTACTGGCACTGTTGATAATCTAGAAGTTGGTTAATTGCATATTAATCACATGCAAATGGTGAGAAAGGTGACTGGGAGGATGATGTAATGAGAAGGAAGAATTCATCATACTTTATTTAGTTGTCATGTGGTAATAACTTTTTTGTTTGACCTGGTTGCTTATTACAACATCCCGTGATCTGCATGAAACAGGTAGATTCTGCAGCAAAGAGAGAGCTGTGTCGTAATGGGCACCGTTGTGTGAGTAGTTTCTGGAGGGCTATTAAATAAAGAGTGGCTAGTGTGCATAACTAATCAGTTAAGGTATTTAAATTCACCTGTTTACAGGGAAATCTGCATTTAAACATAAGGCTGCCTGCTTTCCAGAGTTGGTGTAATTCAAAAAGCAAATACATGGCATTAATTATCAGAAACAAATTGGCTTTTGACACTTCTGTTTGGTGTAGTTAATGTGTGTATAGTTCTCAGTGGCAGAATGTAAGCTGAAATTTTGAAAACTATGAACCCTAATGTTAGGAGTTTGTATTTGGAAAAGCTGGCCAAAGCAGTCAAATACACTGTGCTTTTCACGTGTTGAGGGCAGGAGGATGGTGTGCTCTGGAGACAGATGCTTCTGTGTACTAACTGCAGTACGAATATAAAGTGTGACAGTTGCAAAGTTAGCAATATATAGAATATAAATATTTAGCACTGTCTCACTTTCCCTCAGAAAGGAACAGATAACATCAAAATAGGCTAAAGAGTTCCAGCATTGTGGATGACTGGGGGGGGGAGTCAATTCTTGCCTTTTGACTTGGTTGTTTTTTCATGCCATTTTAAATGACTGGGAAAGAATGTATAGAATTTGTGCTCACAAAGTATCATTATTGTATTATGTCTTAAACTTTGTGATAGCCAGTTTGGGGGCGAGGGTGGCTTCTAGTTGATATCTAGCATGATATTATGAGCCCTCTGAATTAATGTTAGGTGTCACAGGAAATTGCTACGTAATGGTACAAAAAGCAGGTATCCACATAGTTATAAAATACGTTGCTAAAAGTGAGGTAAAGCAGCAGCTCATGAAAGGGCTTCTACTTGTGGCAGATAGCAGTCTTGACGGTACATTTACTTAGCCTGCAGGGTAACAAGTCCCAGGATGTACCAGACGGAAGCTAGAGCATTGGTACAGCCGAAGCACTGGTACAATATGCAGTTAAATAGCTGATTTAGACGTAATAGTTATGCCTTACTATGTTCAAGAAAATCCACGATCAGAATCCTAGTCAAGTTTATTTTGCATCTGTAGATCCAGGAAAAATGCAAGTGTGGGGTAGGATCTGAAGTTTTCCCCTTCAGTAATGAAGGACTTAAAAGCATTAGTTGTTCGGTGCAGTGGAATAGGCAGACAGTGAATGAAAAGGGTCAGATGCATTTTGGAAAGAGAAGTAATTAGTATAATGAGCATTTAGTGATTGATTGTAATCAAATAATATCACAGCACATGTGCTCTTATCTGACTATATTGTAACTTAAGAATCTCTATGGGGGAAAAAAAAAGAAAAAACCACAACCCCCCCACATCCTAGTTTTTGCTTGCTTAGCGTTGTTCTTTCCTTTAAATATGGCACTGATCTGAGAAATAAATGAAGTACAGTACTTGTATTACTGCTAAAACTCTTTGTTTCAGAAGAGGGAAGAATATGTAAGTAAACTAGTTTGAACAAGTTTCAGATGGAAGCTATGAAGGAAGTATCTTCTGTGGTTGAAGGAATGGTGTATTAGTGTGAATGGTGTGAAAGATGAATGATTCACCTGCTCAGTCTGTCCTACACACCTGTGAATCATTGTATTTCTGTGCAACTATAGCAAGCCTACTCTTCAATATGAAAAAATATTTTGTAGGTGCGGGACTGCATTCAGAAAACGCTGACTGAATGGAGCTCAAAGATTGGACAAGACCTAAATCAGGTAGGAGAGGTGTTATGCAAGTTGTCAATGTTACACATGAAAACAGAGAAATATGTAGTTGGTTACACCTTTTAAAATGTAAAGGAATCTATTAAATTTCTGTAAAAGTATCTGCAGCTCCAGGTATCTTAAAAGATTGTTTCTCAAAGCCCTTCTTCCCCTCCTTTTTTTTTTTTTTAATATTTAGTAAATTTGGAGAGGTTAAGAAATACCAAAGTCAAGAATCCTGTTGATGGCAAATCAGACAATTGTTAGGAAAATGAAAGTCCTGGTCTGTAAGGTTTCAAGTTAATTGTTGGGGCAATCACAAAAAAAAAATTTAAATCTGTGTGCCTTAGAAGTTTGCTAGCATGCTTGTAAAAGCTCAGTGGAGAATTACCTAAACTATAGAGACTGTAAACTGGATAATGGAAGATCATCCCATTCGGAGGGGAACTCTGAAGCGTAACCTTGGTTGTCTCAGAAGTATTTCTGAAGATGCAGAAGTGGCCAATTTTCCCTTAAGAGCTAAAGACTTCCAGATCATTCTTAAAACCAGTCATGGGCATCTGATGTCAGGATCTTGGTGTATTTGCCTGCTCCTCTTTCACTATTGTTTCTGAAGTTCAGCAAAGCAGGAGTAGGTTCCCACTAAATACATTATTTGCTCTGTGAAATATTAGCATGTTTCATTTATAAAATAATAATAATAAAAAAAAACAAACAGACAAAAAAAAATCAAACCCTAAAACCCTAAAAAACTTTCCTGACCATTTCTTTGGGTTTTGTTATCAGTTCTTGTGTAATGGTCGCATCAGCTGCATGCCGCTGCATTCCACGCTGGAGTGTGGTGAGGCAGTTATTGCTGAATGATTTGTGGAAGATCTAATGATTGCTCAAGAAGAAAACATAAACGTTTGTCTGTGTAAGATGTAGTGATCCATTTAAAGTTAATTATTTAGTCTAAGCCAGGTTTTACTGTAAAAACATGTTAACTGTATAATTCCAAATTCTTTTATGAATTACATTGGTTTCCAGTAATTTAAAAAAAAGTTAACTTTTGTTTAAAATGCTGATTGTATGGAATAACCCGAAGACTCGCTTGAGGATTTTTTTTAGTAGGGCAGCAAAAATTACCACAGAGTTCTTGGTTGGGGGCAGGGTAGTGTGTATGTGTGTATAATACAAAATCTCATGTAGGTAAAGACTTAAAAAAAAAAAAAAAAATCACCTTGTGCCAGCTGACATGTCAGCCTAGTCTTAAATGAGGTCAGAGGGTGAAATCTCTGAAACTTTCCTAATTTTTAGTTTCAAAATTTTAAATCTATATTTTACAGCGTTTTCACTGTAGGCTGTTCATAGGCCTCACTGAAATTACAAAATACTTTTGTGTAAAGATGTTCTCACCCAAAACCCCTGATTCTGATAGTGTGGGTTTTTTTCAGCTGGTCATGAGGCTTTTTTTAAAGCAAGGCAGTTTGAATTGGCTCGGCAATCTGTTCACATCAGAAAATCAGAACACTACTAAATCTTATTCCAATAATTCTTATCAGTAATTTGTATTTTTTATCTTAGGGGCATATAGGGCCTTTCATACAGCTTCATTTTCCTGAGTTCCCCTCAGAGATCAAGAAGCATTGGGTTACTTTCTTTCTGTCATTGCATTTTTATACTATTTTTGTTTGTAACTGCTGTAAGGCTTTTTTTAATTTACTTAAAAACATTCTTCAGGAACTTACTATCTCCTGTTGATGAGTTGTTCCTAAGTCTCATGTACTTATTACAGGATATTCTGGAGGTTCTGGAATGTACTGTAGCTCAAGCAATAGAAAAAATAAATCCCGAAGAAAGGGATGAGCTGAAAGTATCAGGTAAGAACAGTCAAAAATCCGTTGGCATAAAAAGGTTTCCTATGTAGTTGTTATTAGGATGTTCATGCACGTATATTTTTTTCCACCGTGTTTTGTTCTTGCAAAGTCAAATGTCATCGCTGCACAATGTCCTACCTTGAGTAATGTAGAAGCTGGCTAAGACTTGAATTCATACTTCAGGTTTTTTAAAATGCAGCTCAGCATTTTTCTAGTTAAACTTGCATCCCCTCAAGACTTCTTAAATGTATTTAGTGAAGCTTTGACTTTTCTGAAGCAAAATATTACAGACAATACTAGAATTAAGAAATAGTATTGGAAGCACATTTATTTGCGTAGTTTTTCCAGGTTGAATATGATGAACTTGAAGGAGGTAGTTGAAACTAACACTAGTACATTCTGAGTCTCAGTAAGTCATGAAGAGGTCTGTTTGTGCTATTGCATTGGTGTTTTTCTACAGGCTGTTTCAGTTATTGCTTAGTGTCTTGATGGTGAAGTCCTAGCTTTACAGCTTATTAGATCATCTAACTGGATGATTTCTTGTTCTGAGACTGCACAACAACTTTGAAATTTAAGAGAAGAGTGTCTTTATCAGGCAGTCGCTTTTCAGAAGGTTGGGGTTTTTCCAATTTTTTAGGTAAATGGTGTATGTTCTAAGAACCCTTTACCCAAGAACTCATAAGTAGTGTATATAGTAAAAGTAAATAGCTATATATTTAACAATAGCTGGCTTGTTTAGTTATTAATTTCAGTTTCTTCAAAAATAGCAAAACTTTTCATCGTTGGATCAAACTCTTCATCAATCAGAGATGCAGTTGACCTAGGTAAGCGTGAAACTTCTGGTGGGATTTCTTTTTTACTTTACTATTTAGAAATAAAGTTAGAACCTAAGAGGTGTATTTAATGACTGTCACGAGTATATCCTGTTTTCCTATTAGGAGAGACTTAGGTAATGAACTCTATTTACACGTTAGTTCAGTCAGTAAACTTATTCAATGTGGATCGCTGTAACCTTGGGTCCACAAACTCAAATCTGATTTGTTGCTCCAAGCAAGAGCAAGTTTTTATTCTTTCACACAAAACTTTTTAACAAGTGAATAGCATGTAATGCTGTATCCAGCAACAGTGATACAATAGTTCTTACCGGTTGTTTTTAAAATTATGAACTTCACTACTAACTATGCAGTATTTCAGAGATTATTTAGGAAATAAAACAATGCTGCAAGCAGCTGATGAAATACTTAAGTTTTATTGAAAATACAATATAATGGCTGTACTGATACATAAAGATTTGTTAGCCTAACATAGCAGTAATTGTGAAGCAGCATTGAACTTTCCCACTTTGGAAGATTGGTCATAAGAGGTTACCAAAGAACAAAGGGTCAGATATAATTCTTTCCTATTGATGGCCTAATTAATAGCCTCTTTATTGTAAGTTGTAGTACCATTTGTTAAAAATACATCGATAGAATCCTCCTCCAGAAGAAAATTATTTATTTAGCTACTCCAGTTTTATTCTTTTTGCTGTGCAGAAGGGGCCTCATAACTTGCATCTTGCCTAAAGCTCAGTGATACTCCAAGCCTTGCCACTTCTCTCTGGCAATTTAAATCTCCATATTCGGTGTGCTTTTAGTCTTAACTCCTCACACATACCTAATAGTTCTCCTACTCCATACCCTGTACTTGAGTTATAGTTCAGAGTGAAAGTTACAAATTCGGAAGAAATTGAGAGTGAAGGAAGTAAGAATTGTATGTTGCCACTGTCTTCAGAGCAAAATATAGTTTTAACATTGAAAAGGAGAAAAAAGCTTCATGCTTTGTTTGCTGGTGGGGTGTTTGTTGGTTGGGTTGGTTTTGTTTTGTGGGTTTTTTCCCGCAAGACATACAACTGAAACTTGGCCTTCAGCTGTGTGTTCCATTCTTTGCTAAAAACACTATGTTACTATCCTGCTGATACACTCAGTTTCAAACAGTGGAGCAGGAGGTGTGGTTTTTTGCTGAATTTGAAGAGTCGAGCTGCTTATGTTCGTATCTCACACAAGATTTTGCAGTGTCTCTGTTCTTTTCCCTCAGCATGTTCTGCCCTTGGAGTTGCACAGTTAGACTCAATCATTATTGCCCCACCTCCCAATGAAGATGGAACTAGCCTCTCCTTGGAGTATTTGCAACCTTATTGGCAAGAACTTGAAAATCTAGTTCAAAACGGAAAGATTGTTGCCATAGGTACCTCTGACCTAGATAAAACACTGTTAGAGCAGCTGTATCTGTGGGCACAGGTGAGAGCAAACTTCCTACTTGTCGCATTTCTAGGACAGAGTAACTGTTGTTTTGTTGGCTGCCATGTATGTTTGTAACAAACTTCTGCTATAAATGGGTTTATATACAAAATATTAATTAGCCCTGTTATTTTTAGCATCTTATGGGTGGTCACAATTTTGTTCAAGGTGGGGAAGGCTCAAAGTCTGACTGTCCCTTGTTCAGTATTCTTATGTACAGAACAGCAAAGACTAGAAGCCACAGGTCTGTTCAGTGGCAGGTTCTTTGAAGTACTGAAGGTTTGAGTTTTGAATGCTTTTATATTTAGGAAGGAATAGAAACAGTACTGTTAAACCTCCAGATTTATTCCAATAACTCTGAAAACATAGCTGTTTTCACTTTAAGCTGTGTTATGAATGGAGGGATTTCCTCTTGGAAAAATACTGTTTGAATGCTAAGCTTAAATGTAAAGAGGAAGACAGGCTGTCAATGAAGTGGCACAATATTTTGTTGTCCAATGAGACTAATTGCCTCTTAACATTTGAGTGATGGAGGTCTATACTAGTATGTGCTCATGCTCCTGGAAGCCTGTGGATTTACTGTTTCCTTATTAGTTCTTTGAATACTCCTCTTACAACGTTCCTTTTGTGGTATGTGAACGTATTGTGTCTCTGTAAGATGTCCTGCTGAGAGTCCTGACTTATGCTCCTTGCTATTTTGTGTATACTGAGAGGAGGATAATTGAGGGGATTAATGACCACCTGCATGGTAATCATGAATGCAGTTTGTGATGAGCAGAGGAGTTGTCAGTGGAAGAGGGTCCCTTTTAATGTAATCTGATTTAGGCACTTACCTGAAGGCATGGAAGACTGCAAATTATATATCCTTAACAAAAAAATATTTGGATTTTTTTTATTTGCAGTTTTTTTGAAACTAACACCCCTATTAAGGTTTTACTAGTGGGGGAAAAAAAACAAACCTGCTGCTGTTTAGGGAGCACAGCAGACAGGAAGCCAGAATGGGTTAGCACTCATCTTGCTGTGGCAGCACCTGAAGTTAGATCCTGTTCTGGGTTTGGGCTCTGTACTGCAGGAAATTGCTGATATAGGAGTTGCCTGTTCAGCATCATGCAGAATTAATTAGCCTTGTTCAGACCTCAAAACAATGGTCAAAAGCAAATTGGTTAAGCAAAATTTCTGTTGTAATAGAGGGCATGGGAGAAACAACTAAAATAAGTACATTAATATTTTTTCTTATAAAAGTATTCTGTTACTTTCAGGTGAAACCAAGTAGTAATCAGGTGAACCTAGCTTCCTGTTGTGTGATGCCACCTGATCTCACAGCATTTGCAAAGCAGTTTGACATACAGCTGTTAACTCACAATGACCCAAAAGGTAAGGCTTTTCCAGATAAGTTAACGGAAGCCTTCTAAATGCATTTATTCAGTACAAAATTGGAAATAATCTTTCTCTGAACTTCAGAGTTCATTAAATTTGAATCCTGAACAAAGGATTCTAAAAGTTTCTCCTTTTATGAAATATTTCTTGAAGCAAAAGCAAGAACTTAATAGAAAGGAGGGAGAAAGGCAATCTACCAGCCTTGGATAGTTTCTTGAAATCATTTTAATAGAGAAAATAAAGTAAACAGAACTGAGGAATTTGTACTACATATGTGGAAAAAAAAAAAAACAAAGCTTATTTCCACAAAACATGGAATGAAATGACAGTTGTGTTGCTGAAGGCTAGTAAATGACAAATGAAAGTCTGCTTGCCCAGAACTTGTCTGTGAAAATAGCTTGCATAGAAATGTTGATGGTCAGTTGATCTTTGAGTAGTTTGGTAATGTTAGACATGTAAAATTATTACACTTTAAACAGGATTATTTCAAAGTAGTGACTTGTTAAAATAACATTATTACAAAAAGTTGGTGTAAATTCTTTACTTGCTTTGTGCAGTGATTCATTTACTAGATGATTGAAGGTCTTGGAGGCTTTCCTTTAGACTCTAGAACTCTGAGTTACCAGCTCCCTAGAATATTCTGGCATATTATTGTAGTTTCTCTCAAACATCATCTAATCTTCTTCACTGTAATGATGCCTTAAATATCTTGCTGGAATTGTAAGCGAGAAGTCTTAAACAATATTTAGTTCATTCCTTCCCTACGTTCTTCCTTATGACCAACTATTCATGATGATTATACTTCTCCTTCCTGCTCCTTTCTTCCCATTCCCTCCTCAAAGAAGAAAAGTCTGTGAAATGCTATTTACGAAGTATGTGCTTTATAGTAACCACTGTTACAACTAATGAATTTCATCAGTGCCTGAGCATATATCAGCACTGCTCTGTCAGCGTACAAGATGAATTACCATTCAATCTGACAATTTCTGTGTCCTGTGAAGTCCAAAGTGCAACTTGCAAATTAATAAATACTCTCTGTAGAGAGTCATGAAATGAAGGAGAAGAGGATTTGGATAGAAAACAAAGCAAGTAGTGATTCCCTTATGCATTGTTTGCTAAGCCTAACTTTTCTGTAATGGTCAGCTGAAGAGTATTGAGACTATCTTTTGGGAACACTCGTCATCAAAGAGAGTGTTTCCTTGACTGACTTCCCAGAGGAAACTAGGAGGATTTGTACTTGCCTTCTGTTTCTGCTTTGTGGCATTTAGGCCCATTTTTCTTAATGCTTTCTGGGCTTGTGGTTATTATGAGCCCAGTTATAGGAGATGCTATAACTGTGGGGCTTCCAGTGACTGCCAAAGTAACTGAGAATGCTCAGTACTTTACCGATTTCAGCCTTATGCTTTAGTCACCTCTGGTTTGTCTAGCTACTTTCTCAAATTTAACTTGCTTTTTTTTTTTCCTGCTAATGGCTCTGCTGATCAACTCCATTTGATATTGTAGAAGTCTCAGTTAATTAGTTTTGTGGGAAATACTCAATATTGCAAAAAAAGTGTCCTGAAGATTTCTTCTGTAATATTCAGCTGCTTTCACCTTACACGCATTCCAGAAGAGTGGATCTGTGGAGTATCTGGCGCTGCTTAAGATTTTTTTTGTCTGTAGGAGAAGGCTTCTCTTATTAAGTGTTGCTTTTTGCAGCTCTTTACATGATATTATTTAAAGCATGAATATCCCTTTTTAACTTCAGAATTACTTTGTGAAGCGAGTTTCCAAGAAGTTCTTCAGGAAAGCATCCAGAACACGAAAGCACATGAGTGGATTCCTTTATGGCTTCTCCGGTATTCAGTCATTGTTAAAAGCAGAGGAATTATCAAGTCCAAAGGCTATATTATGCAAGCTAAAAGAAATGCCTCTTAAAACACTTTTTTCTTTTTTCTCTTTTTTTTTTTTTCAATGGCTTACTGTTTTAATTTCTTGGGAATGGGGGGAACATTGCTTTTTTCAGAAACACTTTTACAGCATTTGTAACAAAGACCAAGAGTTGGAATTATTAAATGTGATGTCAGCAGGAGTGTCTGCAGTGTTCTAACACTGTTTTTCTTTCTTAACCTATTGACCAGTTCATTTAAAATATGAAATATTTTTGGTTTATTTTTAATTGAAATTATCTCTAGAGAAACAGTTTAAAATATTTTTCTTTTTGTGACCAGTTCACTGTAAAATTATATTTTAGCTGCCATTAGATAGTATAGAGAAACTTATATATTTTTATTTTTTAAAAAAAATTAATTTCTCTAATAGTTGCTTCTCTGGTAGGTTTTCAAGCATTCAAGGACTAGTTTTTGTAGAAAATTGTCACCTTTTATGAAAAATGAACCAAAAAATCAGGCTGGTATCTCATTACTTGGTATGTATATATAGGCAAGTCAACTGTTTAATTTGAGTGGATGGGAAAATTGGTTTATTTTTAATAGAGTGTAAAAGACCTCTATGACTTAGGAAAAAAATGGATCTTCCAAATTACTTTTACTGTTACTTGAATTCCTTCTGACTTCTTTGTGCCTCAATATGCTTTATTTAGTGTTTGCACAATTGTAATGGCATCTTTACTGTTTGAAATAGAAAATGTATTCTTGTGTGAATGTTTAAACTAAGAATTGAAAACAAGTTGTTGAAAAAATCTGTTAATCGAAATTGAATTGTGCCTGTCATTTTTCTCAATTGTGGCTTGGTTTTTTTGATACTTGAGAAATACATAATCAGAATCAGCCAAGTCAGAAGAGATAGTAAACGTTGAAGCTATTCACTATGCGATTGTGTCAAATGGACAACTTCTTTTGGGGTTGCCTAGGAAACTTTGTTGCTTGAGTGCCATTCAGAAATGATGCAAGCATTAGCTTGAAGTTAGGTGTATTTCTGTTTGGCAGTAGCTTAGCGCAGTGGCTTTTGAATCCTAGAGAGATTGCTGCAGCTAAGGCAAGGCTTTTGGTTTAATGTAGTCTTTCTATCGAAAAGGCCTTTTCATTTCCTTGGCCTTTAAATCAGAATAGATAGCAAAAGCTCAACCTATAATTCAGCTTTTGATACGGAGCGTCTAAAATACTTATTTTCCTTTTGATTTCAGGTAGGAGCAGGACTTCATACTAGTAGTACTCATCAGCTTAGTTGTACATATTTTGAGATTTGGACTGTAAGGGAATGAATTTTCACCAACATCTTTCAAATTGTGTCATGTGGGCAGCTAGTAGAATTTCAGTGCCTGTAGGTAGTGTCTAGAGTGTCAGCTTCCTATAATCCATTCCACTAAGTTAAAAGTTTAATCTTTTTCAAGATACTTTTTGAGTCTTCAAATATATCCGTAGGTGGCAAATACTGGGAACTACTCCTGGACTTCTTCAGTTCTTTTGATAAAAGAGGGAGGCAGGGAAGTGGAACTAGTAATGCACCAATAAAAGTTTGAATTTTTTTTTCTCTTAGTCAAAATGTAGGTTTTTTTAATGTTGGGTCAGTGCGTATGAGAGTTTCAAAATTACATAAGTTTCATTTTAAACTTCCCTATCAGCTTTGAGTTGTGTGCTGCTGCTGATTAACCACTGTCTGTAAATCTGTTGCTGTGTTTGGCTGGTGACATCCTGTATTGTATTAGACTCGCATGTGTGCTCAGTTTTATAAATTGAAATACTACAAAACAAGAATTCTGTTAAAACAATGTAGAGGCTACTCTAATGGGATAATTATTTATTTCCCTTCTGTAAACTGTTAACAGTTTGCTTGCTGTAGAAAAGTACCCTTTAAGACATGATAATTTTAAGACATGATAATCTTATTTTTCTAGAGTCGCCAATACCGTAACATTTTTATCAGGTTATTTCATTAATTTGTTTTGCGTCAGAGTGGCAGAGATGGGATTTCCTTCCATGAGAAACTTGAAAGTTTGAATTAAAATTTGACATTCTTTTAGACTTTTAATTTGTGCTTTGTATGAATTCTCCTCATCTCAATAAGTGTATCTTACACTGTCATAAATAGTATTTTACACTTTGGCATAAAATGGTCTTAAGCGCCCTACGTTCCGGGATTTCATCATCTGATGGCAGGTGTAACCCTCTCCCCGACCCGGGAACGCTCGCTCCCTGCTGCACAGCGTGCTCGTTGCAATTGCCGCAGTGCTTTTCAGTACAAAGTCGACGGCGTCCAGCGTACCGCTCCCCGTTCGTCAGCGCCGGGCGTGCCGC